CCCCAAAACCCCAAAACCCCAAAACCCCAAAACCCCTAGCAAAAGTTCCAACATTGAATAATTGACTTTTTACTAAGACACGCTTATATAATTTATTTAAACCTACTATGTCCTCAGCTTCCGCTACTCCAGACCTTCTGAGCTCCATGACTACCAAGAAGACGAACAAAGTGCTTGGGATCTTGTCTAAGATCACTCAGTCGCTCAACAACTTGCCTGAAGGAGAGTCTTACGACTATGAACTTAGTACAACTGCTAAGGCTAAAAAGAAGGTCAAAAAATGAAATAAGAAGATAGCTAAAATGCTTAGAGGTCTGATGATTAATACAACCAGAGAGGCAGACAACCATCAGGAGTTCGAGACCCTGACCTCTCAAGCCTTCCTGAGTAAATACCACTGTGTAGTTGACACAGCAGACGACCTTATGGAAGTAGCCAATAAAAACGTAGACAAGTTCATGAGAGAAAGACAGAAAGGAAAGGACTATGAAAAAGAACTTGAAAAAGCATTCCAGCTTAAGCATGACAAAGCTCCACATGTATCTTCTGGGGCTAGCCAGATAGTTAAGAACACTATTAACTATCTAGCCAAGCCTCAGCTTGGCTTTGTGCCTAAGATGGATAACTCTTACTTCCAGTTTGTTCCAAGTATCACTCATAAAGAGAATGCAATTGTTCCTCTGCATGAAAGGATTACTAAACTTCAAGCTGAGCATGCTGCATATCTTAAAGCACATCCAAAAATTCTGTTCACTCCTGATATTGAGATCCCCTTCATCAGGACTCCTCACCCTTATGAAGAAGAAATTGAGAATATTAAAGTTGATTGGAAGAAATCTTTGGAGGAGATTTCCCAGCTGAACCCTACTCTTCCTCCTGATGTTGATGAATGGACCCACGAATTCATCGACAAGCCTGAGCAGTTAGAAGGGTTCCTCGAGGAGATAAAGGGGGCGAAAGAGCTAGCAGTCGATTTAGAGTTCCATGCCTATAGATCTTACCAAGGGTTCACCTGTCTTATGCAGCTTTCAACAAGAGAGAAAGATTATGTGCTAGATACAATTGCACTCAGGTCTCACTTACATGTATTGAACAAGGTGTTCACTGATCCTAACATAGTAAAGATTCTGCATGGCTCAAAGTACGATATAGTGTGGCTCCAAAAAGATCTGGGCATTTATGTAGTGAATCTTTTCGATACTGGGGTTGCTGCAAAAATATTGGGATTAAAAGCATCACTTGCTTTTCTGCTAAAACACTACTGTGATGTGACTGCTGACAAGAAATTTCAATTAGCTGACTGGAGGCAAAGACCTCTTACTGAAGAAATGAGTAAATACGCTAGAATGGATACTCACTACTTACACTACATTTATGACACAATGAGGCTTGAGCTTGCTCAGCCAAAGAACAAGGAAGATAATCCTATAAATTATCTAAAATCTGTATTTAAGATGTCAAAGGAGATTGCTTTACAAATATTTGAGAAGCCAAAGGCAAAAGATAGCGACTACTTCGCCATTGTTCAAAGAAACTGTACCTTAATGGGTGAAGGTCAACTAGAGGTCCTCCAGATGCTCCTTGTTTGGAGAGATTATGTAGCAAGAGTTGAAGACGAGTCTGTAAAATATGTCATGCCTAATGATGTACTCTTTGACATTGCAAAGTCAACACCAAAAACTTCTACTGAACTTGAAGAAGTCCTCAGAAGACATCCTAAGCACACCAAGCATGTGAGTATCCTTAAGTTTGAAGAAGATCTCTTGGAAAGGATCAATAAATCAGTTAAAACCTGTGAAGATAAGATTCAGAAAAGAGTCAACAACAAAAAGAAGAACTCTGCAGAGTTCGACCCCCTCAACGAGTCCTCTTCGTCAGATGATGAAGAAGAGAAGAAGATTCCTAGGTCTAAGAAAGCTCTTCCAAACAAAAAGATTGAGACTCAGAAGAAGCAGAGTACTTTCTCTCTCCAAAACGTACAGATTAAAGTTGATAGAATCACTAAGCCAAGTAATATGTTTGCCAATACGGATAATAACGTTGAGAGGAGCAAACAAGTTGGCCGGATCAACCGGTTCAACACCCAACTAAGCATGTGTGAACTCATGGGTATCCAGAGGTCACAAGTCCCTCAGGTGGAGAAGTCAAAGAAAACTCTTGAGAGCCAGATCCAGGAATGAATGCCAGTCGATGTCCCCGTTGTTGAAGAAATTACTAAAGATGACCTTAAAAATGCAGTGCTTAGATCAGATGAAGTGAATGTCCAAAATGTGCACATTCCTGATGAAAAGAAACAAGAAGAGGACTCTGACTTCGAAACCCACAAACTTCCTCCATCCATGAGGGAGAAGTACAACATTAAGAAGAAAAGTAAGAGGAACAAGAATAAGCGCGCTAAAACTGGGGAGGAAACTGAGGGTAAAAATCTCTTACTCCAGCAAAACAAGAAGACATTGATGGATACGATCAAGGATATCACTAAGCAGTCTAAGGACAAGATCTCCAATGCGGAACCTATCCCTAAGGCCAGCAAGAAAAGGTATGTTTTCAGCCAAATTTAGGCTAATTCTTTTAGAGCCAAGCTAGCAATTGCTAAAAGAAATGAAGGTACTGAGATCAACGACGAAAAATGGAACCAAGCTATTCAGAACTGTGAGGAGGTGCTTGACACCCAGATGGCTCAGAGAATGAAGAATAAGGGTAAGGATCGCAATATGAGGAAAAGAAAGGGAAAGAAGAGATAAAATTAGTCATAAGAAGTTGATTTAAGTATTTTTCAACAGATTTATTGAATTAAGGGGTTTTGGGGTTTTGGGGTTTTGGGGTTTTGGGGTTTTGGGGTTTTGGGG